GCTGTCCCGATAGTCTGCATACAAATAGAGCTGTACTTCTGTATTAGCAAACCTAACGCATCTCCGTTACCCGGGTGTGCATAACATATGAAGACGTCACAATGGCCTTTGTTCTCAGTAGAGTATATTTGAACAGGCTAGAAAGGAGGGGGAAAAAACCAGTCCGAATCGTCAGAAAGAATGGAGCCAAGTGGTACTGAACCAGCCTTGTAATTGGTAGTAGATAGACTTGGGCCCTGATCATCATCTAAAGTAGCAAAGTGCTATGTTTATTCATACATGTAGCTCTGCACTCTTAAAGTCATCATGTTCGTGAATGAATTGCCGCTCCTCACCCCTAAAAGCCTCGCCTTTAATCCCTCTTGAGCGGGGTGTAAGTCTCAGCTATGCCCTCCTTTGTGATAATCATCATCTGCAGCCCGTCACCAACCTCAATGTGTCTCTCAACCGCACTCGTGAACGCGTCTCGCACCAAATCCTCAACGTGGTCTCTAGGCAGCGGCTCCGCCTGTTTCGACTTGAGCTCGTGCCCCACTCCGCTGCCGGGCTCGTACATGTTCTTGAAGTTGACCTGGTTGTCCAAAAAGGGCATGATGAGGGATGCCGCCGCACCGGCGGCCCTACATTGCTCGCGCTCGTAGCTACCGACGGGATCGTACGAGTACAGTGCGCCCTTGCCGTCTTCATCCAGGCCACCGAGAATAGCGTGTACGTAGTACGGGAAAAAGCGCTTGTTGTAGAGGATGTGGCTGAGTCGCTGTGCACATGCCGAGACGGTCATGGGTTTGCCGTGCTGGTACTTGTACATCTTGACAATGGTGTCGAGGCGTTCCTTGAGGGCGTGGGCGTCGGCTGCGAAGCCCACAACCGACAGGACTATCCTGGCGCCCTTGTTGTCGGAGCCTTCGCCGCCGATCTTGAAGAGCTTCGGTGCGTACCGTGTGTTGATGTTGTAGCCGGAGGTTGAACGTGTGTCGCCGGCGAGAATGGCGAAGTCGGCGCCGGAGATGCCTAGCGTTGAGCCACCGTTGTCGGTGTACCTGTGGAATTTGTTCAGTACGATGTGCTATGGGTATTTCTGAGCGTACGTACGGGTAGAAACCATGTTGCCGCTCGCCGGATGGGACAGTTGTGGGGGTTTGCTTGAATGAGTAGCCTGGGCCGCCTTGTGGAGGTGCACCGGTGTAGAGCGCAGCCATTGCGTTATCTGAGGACTGGGACTGAACAAGAGGTACAAAGAGTTTCTGTGTGAGTGTTCAAGGGCGTCGTATATCGGTCGGCCGGCGATTCTGGGTTTGGGTGATGGAGCTGTAGTACGCGGAGCTCGAGTGCCTGGGAGCTTCCACGCGCTAATGTCTTGGCGCTGATGTAGTGAGGGCATGCTTCGCTATGATTTCTAAATAAAGCTGACTTCGCGATAGTTGTCCTGTATATTCTACTTCAGTGCAGATATCCGTTGCATAGAGTAGCCAAGACATTTTTCTACACATTTACATGCATACAGCCTCTGCACCGTTCTATAACCTCTGCAACCCATGCTCAAGCTTTCTTTGCACCAACGGGGGAATATACGTACATTAGAGACCGAGTATATCTCGTAGACTTGACTATGCGAAATTGAATATTGAGTTACTTGGGTGATCTGCCTAAAACGGCAGATCCCGTTTGAGAGATTCACTGTTTGCCAACCCATAGTAGTACTAAAGTTCCTACTCTAGTCGCCTGTATCGAAATACGGGTCAACAGAAGAATACCATCTACAACAATTCGCTTTTTTAGGAGACTGGCAGAAAAACAGTTGACTGGTAGAGTGGCTTCTGTTTCCCTGTTTCTTTACCTCGGTTGTACCTGTCTGCAACCGATCATATGTGCATTGACGTTAGCTATTTCTGACATTCGAGAAGCAGGTTTACGGACAGGTGGTGGTTTTAATGTGATGATTAGAAATACAAGTAAATTAGATATTATTGTTAGAGCCGTTGCTAGTCTAGAGTGTGAGCAGATTGTTCGCCAGTTGCAGCTTTTTTCAAACCACGATATGAGCGTTACTATGTTAGCCTCTTGTCAAGCTTTGAGTTTCAAATAGAACTTTCAAAGGCACCTCATAGTAGTAGTCATGTAGTCGTCAAAGTTGGTGGAGTCTTCCTAAACCGGCAGTCTTACTCCTCTCATATGTTGAGAATTATTATCATAATATATGGCCCTACAGTCTCGTTCTCAATAAAGCTGTTTTTGGTGGTTCGGTGCATTGCACACACCAGTACTACGGTAGTGAGCGCCTTCACTACTTCCTCTTTCCCCATTTCGCCCCCACTCGATGTCAGCACCGGGATTGAGTCACCAGTACTGTATAGCCAATTTGCGCGGTGCTGCATGCCAGCTATCAGCTCTTCTAATGGAGTCTAGCCCTTAACCAGATGTTAGTTCAGCATCCCCATCCCCTACTGGCCTGTTTGGGACGCTTACCTCAACAATACGAATTGGGACCAAAGGAGCGCTGTAGATATACTAACAATATAGACCCACGTAGGGGCTTACTTGGCAAACCAGATTAGCCTAACAATGTCCGCACGGAATTGATCATTTGATGCTTCGGGACACGTCAGCTGCTTGCTTTGCTTGTCTGGCCATGCATGACTGCACAGGAGTCACGAATGGAAGCAGATCAATACCAGAGTTAAACCTTCTGCAGAACTTTTCGATACCTTTGTATCAAATATTTTGCTCGCTTCTAGAATCTCTAGGACGTAAGACGACGAGACCACCCAGCTGTGTTACTACAGCCGGCCATCCGGTAAGCCCCCAATATGGACCTCAGCGTTCTAGCAAAACCTTAATGATAAGCGGTAGTAAGCGCTACGATTCTCCCGTCCATGAGCTCAATGAGACCCTACATTTTACCTCCCCAAGACTTGTCTTATGGAACGAACCATTTATTGGGTTCCAAACAGCATAAGAGATGAATTCCACCATGATTGTGAGATTCCGCGGCACATTGTCGAGACTCAGGCGACCAATCTCCCGAAATACCCGTTTAGGGATCTGGAGAGGGAATTTCCGAGCCCTTTTGGCAACTGCCAGGGCACTAAAAGAGAATGACTTCGACAAAGTGTCCGACGTCGTCATAGTCGGCTCGGGTGCAGGTGGCCTCACAGCAGCATTACGCGCAAAGCACCACGGTCTGGAACCCCTGGTAGTCGAAAAGACATCTACGATCGGCGGATCCAGTGCGTACTCCGGGGGTGCACTATGGGTCCCGAACAACCATGTTTCGAAAGCGGCAGGCATAGAAGATAGCCTGGAGGAAGCTCTTACCTACCTTGAAGCAATTGTACCGCCAAACACACGGTCCAGCACGAAAGAGAGAAAACTAGCATACCTCAACGAGAGCCCGAAGATGGTCAAATTCTTGGAGGATGGCGGATTCAAGTGGCACGCCGGCGTGGGATACCCTGACTATCACTCACTGGAGCCGGGTTCCAAGCCCCTAGGTCGTGTGATTGAGGGCAAAGTGTTTGATCTCAAGAAGCTGAAAGACTGGCGGTCTCTGATCAGGCTTCCGTCCGGTCCCAACCTTATTGTTTACTCCAACGAAGCCCCTCACATCTTTCGCATGGGCGCTCATCTCCATGATTTCTTCAAATTCAGTGTTTTTGTAGCCAGACTGGGGGTTCGGGTATTGGTAGGCCAAAAACCAGTGACGTTGGGCAAGTCACTGATCGGGCAGTTGCTTTACATGAATAAGCAGCAAGGAACAGAAATATGGAGGGGGAGCAAGTTGGTGGAGCTTATGACTGACGAGAAGGGAGCGGTGGTGGGTATTGTAGTTGAAAGAGATGGCAAAAAAGTAAGGATCGGTGCGAGAAATGGAGTTTTGTTGGCAGCGGGAGGTTTTGCAAAGAATCCAGCCATGCGGAATCAACATCAGAAGAGAGCTGAGCATGCGCAATGGAGCGTTGCTTCGCCAGGTGACCAAGGCGAAGCCATCACAACCGGTCAGAAGGCAGGCGGTGCCATCGACATGATGGATGCCGCCTGGTGGATGCCCATGATAATGGTGGGCGACACCCCCATTCTCGACATAGCCACCCGTTCACTCCCCCATTCTATTGTGGTTGATGGAGACGGTCACCGCTACCTAAACGAAGCCTTGGACTACGATGATTTCGGTAAGATGATGAACAAACACCATGAAACCACTACAGCTGCACCCTCGTGGATCATTATCGATGCAAGACACCGTAATAAATACCTTCTCGGCCAATTTGGTCCACGGTATACACCTCAGTGGGCGATTGAGAATGGGCTCGTATACAAAGACGACAGTATCGCGGGCCTAGCCAAGCAAATCAATATTGACCCGACGAATTTACAGAACACAGTCACACGCTTCAACACCTTTGCGAGCAATGGTGTCGACGAAGATTTTCGAAGAGGAGAGAATCCCTACGATCGCTTCTTTGGCGACCCACACCACAAACCGAATCCCAACTTGGGCTCTATTGCAGAAGCCCCCTTCTTTGCTGTCAGACTATATCCTGGGGACCTTGGAACAAAAGGTGGTCTGTTGACGGACGATCTTGCGCGTGTGCTGATGGAAGATGGTAAGCCGATTCCAGGACTGTATGCAGCGGGGAACACGACTGCGAGCGTGATGGGGAGAAGGTATCCAGGGGCTGGGGGTACGTTAGCACCGGCAATGACCTTTTCATATATTGCTATGGATGATATGGCGAGACAGCTTCGCAAATTGTGAAAGAGTGGCTGGAGACGATGGATTAGATGTGCAAGTTTGTTATGTATAACTACGTTTTGTAATGTTGATATTGCAGCGTATATCGCTGGGAAGAGTTGATATGCTATACGGCATGAAGTAACAACCTTCTGTGTTTGCTTAAATACGCATAGCTTCTATACGTTCCTGCTCAGCTCCACAGGTTTGGGCTAGGACTCCTGCATCTCATCGCTAATGTACATGGACTGCGATGTTGCTCCATTCTCTATTCTATCTCCCTGGACTTTGATCGTCTCCTCTTTGGTGACCTCGATCTGCTCTTCAACATGCTTCTGGAACTCGCATCATCTCTTCCCCTATGTTCCAGTTCCTTGCGCTTCCCGGAGACGGACATAGCCGGGGCATCCGCCTCACTCGGGGTCCCAGACTTGGTTGCAGAGACAAAATCAAGAGCTTTTCTTGGTGCCTTTGACTTTTCCTGCTCCTTCGCTTTCGCAAGTTGCTTCTGTGAAGCCTTGAGTTCCTCAAAGTAGGCCCATGGTGGAAAGCTTGTCGATATGGCGAGGTCGTCTGACAGCGTGGACGCATAAGATTCCTCCTCAGTTATTCCTGCAAAGTCCAACAGCTTCTGAGAATGGCCAGGGTCACGCAATACAGACGAGCTTTCCAAGCGGTGGTTGAAGTGCTGGTTCTTCTTCTTCAGTTCAAGAAATTGCGCAAATTTCTTAGTCGCTTTTTGGGGCGGCGACCCGGGAGGCGAAGGCGGTATGTCGAAGTTTGGTACGGTAGGTAAGGTGAGGTTCTGGATCAAGGCGCGGGTTGTTGTAAATGGTGAGCCGGGAGCAACATCGTCCGGTAGGCCATTGTCAGTGGGAGGTGGTGTTGCAGTCGGTCCTTGCGAGGGTCCGCTGACTGGTCCTTGCGAGGCAGAAGGCTGATCGAGAGGTGGAGGAGGTGCAGAAGGCGGTTCTGGGGCTGGGGCAGGCGCAACTGTCGCAGGAATGTTGGTCAACTCTATATTAGTAGCGGTCGGAGCCCTCTGGGGACATTTGTGGGTCTCACCTCTGGCTTCGTCGCCGGTACGACCTCTTCCTCGTCACTATCTGGATAATCAATTCCGAGCATCTTGGAGTGCACAATGCTCGTGGGCCATCCTCTGTAGCTGGCTTGAGTATACGGAGCTTGGGCCAAGTCTATCTCTTGGCGGGCGAGCTGTGCAACCACCGACTGCCTACACGCACCGTCACGACAACTTCGCCTTCCAGCCCACTTTGAGATATCAGGTTGCAATCCCGGCCTCGAATCGTTACTTCTGTGGTATCTCCAGCTTCAAAAGAAACGTCCTAAACATGAACCACCTCCCACAGGCATGGGGCCGTGTACGTCTCCCACCCGCCGCCAATCGCAGCAGTACTAATGCATCACAGCCTAGAGACGATGTTTACGGTGCCTACGACCCCTCGCACTTTTCATCCGATGGCCCAAATCAGCACACTCAGAGCCCGATTGTTACCGGTACCTCAGTACTCGCGGCCAAGTTCAAGGATGGCGTGGTCATTGCGGCGGACAACCTGGGTATGACATGACATAGTGGGATACAGAGGATAGACTAGCTAATGCTATTACCCAGCTTCATACGGATCTCTTGCCCGTTTCACCGACGTTAAGCGTCTACGAAAGTTCAACGATGAGGTAGTCGTAGGTTTCGGCGGCGACGTCTCGGACATGCAGTACATCGACCGCCTTCTGAATTCTTTGGACATTCGCGAGAACTACTCTTCTTCTGAGAATTCGCTCAATGCGAAGAACCTCCACACCTACCTTGCCAAAGTCATGTACAACCGCCGATCCAAGTTTGACCCACTGTGGAACCACTTGCTCATTGTCGGCATGGATGGCGAGTCGAAGCCCTTCCTCGCAAGTGCAGATCTCCTCGGTACCACATTCACGTCTCCATCGTTAGCCACAGGCTTCGGTGCACATCTCGCTCAGCCGATTCTGAGGACCATATTGCCAGATGAGGCCGCTGTAGAGAACGTCACAAAGGAGCAGGCAGTGGATAAGATCAAGGAGTGTATGAAGGTTCTCTTCTACAGAGATGCTAGGAGTATGGACAAGTACTCGATTGCAGTCGTTACCAAGGAGGGCGTGGAATTGGACGAGAACGTGAAGCTGGAGAACCAGAGCTGGGCCTTTGCAGACAGGATCAGGGGATACGGCACGCAGACTGTATAGGTCTGTTCATGGCAGAAAGAGGAATGTTATGAGGAAGAAACCACGGCCAATTAGAAGCCGAATTCTAAATGAAAGACATGAATGAATGTACCACCCACGGTCTGGCTGTGTTATTTCCTGTTCTTATTTAACTGCGTGCCTTATGCAGTATCACTGATCTTAGCAGTTGGTGTATTGCGCATCTACAATTAGCGCTGATCTCTGAGCCAAGTGGCAGACGGAGACAAAGTGGGGAAACTCCGCTGACACGCGGGGAACTCACGACTCTGTACAACGCTGGCGTACTCCGCTTACGAAAACGTGCTGGGAGTGACAAATCTGCAACGAAATCAGCATCGTCACTTCACCGGCAGCTCCAAAGGCTCTTATTTAGACACATACGTCTACTTTGTCTCACTTTCTTCCTCCCTTACTCGCGAGCATACTCGCCCTAGTGCAATGTCATCTAGCTCAACATCAAGAAAACGAATTGTTTTCACGGGCGGCTCCGGGGTATGTGCATTTACGTCACTGTTCTATGCTTTTTGGCATCCTAAATTTTCTTGGCATGTATAGGGCATTCGGGCCCTGACATGTGTCTTCCAGATTTCCAAGAGTACAGACACATGAGGTTACGAACATCTTCGTATTTGAATTCTACTGACTATGCACACCTCATAGGTAGCAGGCCGCCATGTCGTAGCTGGGCTTTTATCTCACGGCCATGAGATTCTTAATGTCGATGTGACACCTTTGGACAATCCAGATGTGTACACATTAAAGGCGGACTTGACAGACGGCGCACAGGCGTTCAATAGTCTGTCTTGTCATTTCAGGGTCAGCGAACCATTCATGGAATCACTCAAGACACCAGATGCAGTTGTGCATTTTGCTGGCATACCACAGCCGATGAGAATTCCAGACAACGAAACGTTCCGAATTAACACAATGGGCTCATACAATGTTATCGAAGCAGCCTGCAAGCTTGGAATCAAAAAGGTATAAGAGTATTTTTTTTGAAAATGACAAGAAAATCACTGATTATACCAAAAGATCATCCTGGCTTCGAGTATCACCGCTTATGGCGTTACCTATGCAGAAGGTGACGTTGATTATGCACATTTCCCCATAACCGAGGACACGCCTACACAGCCCATGGATGTCTATGCCACGTCAAAACTCTGCATGGAGCAAACTGCAGCGTCATTCGCTCGGCGCTTTCCAAGTGTGGATATCTATTGCCTGCGCATCTCGGCCGTCATTGAACCCGAGAATCACGCCAAAAAGTTTGAAGCGTATCTGACAAGGCCGCAGGACTTCAAAGTCCATGCGTGGAGCTACACAGATGCAAGAGACTTGGCAGGCATTGTCCATGCTTGTTTACAGACGGACGGACTAGGGTTTCAAGTCTTTAACGCGGTGAATGACGAGACTACGATACCAGAGTCGGAGGGAAGCATTGAAGAGTGGCTGAGAAAAGTATGTCCCGGAGTGCAGATTATCCAAAAGATGGCAGATCGGGATTCACCCATTTGCAATAAAAAGATGAGAGATATGCTAGGATGGAAGGAGGAGTTTGGCTGGCGGAAAGTCATGAATAGGGGATAGAGGTAGTGTATCTCAAGGTCATTTTGTTGAGGTCGGACCACGGTTGCAGTGACATGCCGCAAAGTACGCAATATGCTTTCCTTTACGCTCGCTTCGGATTTCAGTCTGATTCCGACACCGATGACCTTCTTTTTCCACGATCCTATTGGTCTTTTACCCAGGTAAGACGTCAGCATTTTGTATTGAGCTTACGACTATCTGTCAACGTTATTTCCACTACCAACAGTGGTCTACACTGATTCATAGTCCTTACCATTTTATACGACTGTCGAAGGCTGGACTCTGTTATCAACACATTCGGCCGGAATGTATTTCAAGATGGCTTGTTGTAGTTGATTGTTGCGTAAACACGGCTACGGCGGAAGGGACCGGGAATCCTTGTCGTTGTCTGGGGATAATACGCCTTACGAAAAACTGTGGGCAAGCATCGAACGTCTATCCGCGTATAATTATCCACCGGGCTTTTCTCGATTACTACCCGATTGGTTCTTTGAGGTTAGCGCAAAATAGCAGCTGCCAAAGACCGTCTGTTCGTGATCGCCAACTCTATACAACACAAGCGGTACGAGTTCTCGCTCTGGACAGCAGTAAGTAGAAATTGCCTTCACATATTATCAACAGCTAAGTAACATCGAAATGTCAGATTAGGGCATTGTACAAATTTAGGTACTGGGCAATGTCAGATATCGAACCATCGTCATCAACTTCTGACGGCCGTACGTTCGTCCATGCACCTGAAGCCAGGTTACCAGAATACATGTGAATATGAGCAACTCGTCAGTTCGTCCGAATTCACGTACCGAACTTATGTACAGGTTTGGGGAGATCCGCATCGCTTCGTATCGAGCAGGGCGTAGTCGAGAATCCTTTGGCCCTCCGACCCTCCGACCCTCCGCGCCGTGCTTGCAGCAATTCACAACCCGGTATTGATAAGCACAACATGCTGTTCAAAGATCATCGCTGCCAGAACGGTATTCTTTCACCCTCCATGAAAGGTTATTTGTGTGCTTATCGTATTGCAGTGACTAGCACACGTTATACCTTCGCCTCCGCTTCTACAGGTTTCACTTTCACCGCGGACATGACGACACAACGTAGCCTGATGTAGGGTTAATATCCACTACGCCACATGCAGCTATGCAGTCACCCGCGTGTGTTCCGCCCCCATACTTAAGTCCGGGCGTGCTATCCTTCGTTGCGGAGGGTCGCACGGTCTTGTGTCCGTAGATTACGCCGCCTGCCAATTCTTCGTCCATGCACACTTCTCTTCTCCTTTCTTAAGTGGCCTCCAAGTACCGTCCAGTAAGGGAAGCTTTAGTGCTAGGATTTTCCAAGAACTGATCTGCAAGTTTCCGCTCGACTTGACGATTTGCAGCGGCTTACGTCCCCTCCGTGGTTTAACCAACGTTCGGTAAGGCTTGTTCATTCTAGGCACGCCTATTCAAGGCAGTCTTTCCATGCAGATTCACACACTACATCATGACAGTTTGAGAGTGCATCTGTTCAATAAGCGTATGCTTACAATGTTGCAGTCAGTTCGCATCCAATCTTCACGATGGCAACATCAGCCTCGCCAGACCCTACACGGGACACACAAGACCACCCAAATGAACGGACGAAAGAAGCATATGAATCAACACATCATAAAGAGACAGAAACAATAGGAGATGCATTTGCTCATGATCCAGAGAAAGGCATCGGGAGCCGGTCATCATCAACAAATTCAACACATTCAAACGAGCAAACACTGCCGAACGCGATGCAGGCACAAGAAGAACAAGAACAGGACCCCAACATTGTAGACTGGGACGGTCCGGATGACCCCAACAACCCTCAAAACTGGTCTGCGAAGAAGAAATGGGCTACTGTTGCCGCCCTTGGCCTCGTCACACTGATCACTCCAGTCGCATCCTCCTTCTTTGCCCCCGGCGTACCGTACGTAATGCGAGCATTCCACGAGACATCAAGGGTCCTGGCCGCATTTGTCGTCTCAGTATACATTCTAGGCTTCGCCGTCGGACCCCTAATTATCGCGCCCATGTCCGAACTCTACGGCCGCATGCCTCTCTACAACATCTGCGGTGTATTCTTCGTCATCTTCAACGTTGCTTGCGCCGTCTCCGACTCAATGGGCATGCTCATCGCCTTCCGCTTCTTCGCCGGGTGCGCAGGCTCTGGGCCCTTGACACTCGGCGGCGGCACAATCGCAGACATGTTCCCCGTCGAGCAGCGTGCAGGCGCAATGACAATCTGGGTCATAGGTCCCCTTCTCGGACCCGTTGTCGGTCCCATCGCGGGAGGCTTCCTCGTCGAAAACGCCGTCTGGCGCTGGGTTTACTGGATCCTGGCCATCGCCGGCGGCGCCTCTGGCCTCCTCTTCCTCGTCTTCGGCCGTGAAACCTACGCCCCCGTCCTCCTCGCCCGCAAAACCAAATCCCTCATCAAATCAACGGGAAATCCCAATCTCCGCTCGAAACTAGCAAAGGACCTTCCCCCCCGTGAAATCCTCACCCGCGCTATTGTCCGGCCGATCAAGATGCTCTTCCTCTCCCCCATCATCCTACTAATGTGTCTCTACATCTCCGTCAACTATGGTATTCTCTACCTCTTCTTCACAACAATCACCTTCGTCTTCCAAGGTCAATACCGCTTCTCCTCGGGCTCCGTGGGTCTCGCCTACCTAGGCATCGGCGTGGGTATGGTCTTCGGACTCGTGCTAGTTGGCTCATACTCCGACCGCTACATCAAGCAGAAGCAGCAAACACATGGCAAAGCGAAGCCTGAGCATCGTCTCCCACTTCTTCTGACTCTGCCCGGTGCTATTGGCATGCCCATCGGCATCTTCATCTACGGATGGACGACGAAGAACGAGGTGCACTGGATTGTTCCTATTATGGCTATGGCGCCGGTGGGACTGGGCAGTCTTACGTCGATGATGACTATTCAGACATATCTTGTAGATGCGTTTACGATACATGCTGCGTCGGTTATTGCAGCCAATACGGTGCTCAGGTCGCTTTTTGGAGCGTTCCTGCCACTTGCGGGACTGCCTATGTTTGATTCGATGGGGCTGGGCTGGGGTAATACGTTGCTGGGATTTATCGGTGTGGCGTTTATACCTGTACCGGTGCTGTTTAGGTATTATGGAGAGAGGATCAGGACGAACCCCAAGTTTCGGTTGGAGTTCTAGGATGTGAATTTTCTTTCAGCCATGTCTAGCAATGGGATATTATTATATGGGTATTTTTTTTTT